CGAGACAAGTGAAGATCAGGAACTACAAGTTTTAGAACAGGGGATCTAAGACTAAAGTACTGAATGAGAAATTTACTTTTTTTTTTTTTTTAATATGAATTTAAAGACTAAACTGCCCTCCCTGGAGGCCACTAGATGTACAGCTTTTAAAAAATGGCCAAATGCCTGCTAATTAGCAATTTTCTCAGATCGCTGGGAAGGATACTAAAAGTCCTCTATGAATTGGTGGTTTAAAAAATTAAAGAAATAAGCTGGGTACTAGTTACGTGAGGATATGCTAATATACATTCATTCATATAAGAGTACCTTAAATTTAAAAAGTCAATGTATATTACTCTGGCAAAGCATAATGGTGTCGTTTTTGTATAAACACTTAAAAAAAAAAAAGACTAAGAGTTTGACTTAGTGTCTTATTTCACTAATATTCCATGTTTTTGGCTACTGTGTTTGACAGCTACTATGTAAGAATGGGAAAAGGAAGACAGAAAAGCTGAAATAAAGAAAGTAACCTACACTCTTCTCCTTCCCAAGGAGGAGAGGAGGGGAGAACTGAAGGGAGAATTCACAAACATGTCCCTGCCCCCAGGAGCTCAGTCAAGTGTATTCTCCCAGTAGAGGCTCACCACCAAAAAAAACAAACCTGTTGCTATCAGACTCATAGCGACCCTACAGGACAGAGTAGAACTGCCTGGTGGGGTTTCCCAGGAGTGGCTGGTGGACTCCAATTGCTGACTTTCCGGTTAACAGTGCAGATCTTAACCATTTTGCCACCAGGGCTCCAGAGGCTCTCCAGACTCCTCTAAAAGTAGCCAACAGGTATTGACTGGTCCCCAAAGCTTTAAAGGGGACACTGGCCCTCCTAAATCTCCTCTTTAGTGTTGATTTAACTGCGTAAAAGGTAATACAATTTTCCATGAGGAAACCAAACACACAAAAAATAAGCTAACAGGCAAACTGCTAAGATTACTTCCAACCTTAAAAACAGGTTGCTAATAATAGAGATAACATATGCATCAAATACGTTACTGATTAAAACATGTCATATATTCCCTTTCCAATAGCCTATCAATTAATTCAACCAAAGCAACAAACCTCATCTATCCAGAATTTTAACTATGTTCAAATGATTACAAATAGTTTGTAGTAGTATATAATGGCAGTTATATAATGAGTAGAGAATACTAGTAGAGAATAATCACATAATGCCTAATAATGATTTGGCAGTATTACAAAATCCACAAATTCACAATTCAGTCATGGAAAATGAAATTAAAATTAGGAGCACTTTCATATGCAATGTATTCTAATTCTTTGTAAGTTCACATATGGCAGGCAGGGAGTGGTAGAATTCCTTCCAATCCTGAAACACTGAGGGAGAAAGAGGGAGGAATAACTAGGGTTAAGGGATAGTTTGGGTTCCCTGGGTGGTACAAATGGTGAAGTACCAGTCTACTAACCAAAAGGTTGGTGGTTCAAACCCACCCAGAGATGCCTGGGAAGCCGGGTCTGGTGATCTGCTTCTGAAAGGTCACAGCCTTGAAAACTCTATGGAGCAGTTCTACTCTGCACACGTGGGGTCAGCATGAGTTAGGAATCGACTCAACAGCAACTAATAAGAGGGATGGTTTCCCACAGTTCCCCTTAACCTGAACCGAGAACTTGAGGTATTTTGACGTTGTGACTTTAAGTTAATTGATTCCTCCTTTTTTTCTGTTTCTCTTAAGAGATATCATCATCTCATTAGGGCAAAAGCTTCCAAAGAATAGAATGATGTTTTCCTAGTATTCTCTACTGATTTTATAAATAAACTGCGTAGTTGAGAAGTGCAATTTTGTTCATAACATTTGTAATTGTTTGCATTCAAAGGGGAAAACAAAAATATGCTCTGATCTTAATGTGTCTGGTTAATTTTCTTAGTGCCATGAATATTCAACTAATTTAATACTTTCATATTTTTCTAAACAAAATTGGTATAAATTCCATTTTACAATGTCAATTAAAAATAATCTCTAAATAAGGGATAATCACCATATGCATTTTTAATAAAACATTTAAAAATGGTACGAGTTAACTGCCACTAATATGGCAATGTCACATATTTTTTTAAAAAAATCACATAATTATACAAATACTATGAAACCACAGCCTACCATTTTAGAAAATCATAGGCTACTTACTACTTGTATGTCTCAGAACGGATGTATTCAAAAACATGGGACACGCCAAGCTGGAATTGGTCAGCAATAGGGGTAACCCAAGGATTGTT